AAAAAAAAAACAAAATGAATAAGTTTAATAACCCTACATATCAAACATTTTCTACGGTAGTGTTATTTTCATAGGATAATTATTCTCGTGCCACGTACGTCGTGGCATTTCGTAACCGACCTTGGCTTAAAAATGGTTTTAAACTTTAACCTACTACGTCATCATGATTTCGTTTTTTTAATCCACGTTCGAATGGCGCCCTTTACATAATCAATACTTTGATTCAAAATAAATTTTTTATTCCCGCGTTTTACTCAATTTCAAAAAAAAAAAAAAACGTGTATTGAATATTTTCGATTTTAATGTCTTTTGTTTTTAATTTTTTCACGATTTAATTTCCACAATTAGAGCAGTTATAGTGTAGCAAATCAATTTCATAGAGTAAAAAAATAAAAAGGAAAATTTTCAATGGTTGAATATAATTATCGTCGATACAATTAAATAAAATATTTTATTAATTACATTATTAAATAAGTTTGTGTACATAATTAATGTAATAATATTTAAGTAAATATGTTAATGCAGGCACAAAAATTTACGATCCCGTGAATTTACATAAGACGAAAAAAAAAAAAAAATTTTTTTTTTTGAAAGCGTGAATTATTATTATTATTGTTAGGTTAAAAATTTCGTGTCGTAAATCATTAAAAAAAAAAAAAAAGCTCTCCATTTTAATTTGTGGGGGAAAAAAAAAATGCAATTTGACGCCATTATATAAAAAAATTTTTTTTGTATAAAAAAAAAGTGTCCGGTGGTGGTCGTTCGATTGATTAATTAATATTATTATTATTATTATTAGTTTAATAAATAAACGCAACAAAAATGGTCGACGTTATAAATTTAAAAAACCATCAGCTTTTTTCCGATGAATGATTTTCTGTCGTCGAGGGCAAGGTGACATCTCCAGATTTTTTTGTACTTTGATAATCGTACGTATCGGGCGCAGATAAACTTCTCCCGGAACTACCGAATTTTTCATTTCTTTCGGCCCGAAGAAAAGGATTCTGGAAGATAAAAAAAGAAAAATTTCCACAGACTGGAACGAAAGGATCGTATTAAGGACAAACATGGAACACAAACAAACCTGAAACGAATGTTTTTTGAGCATCGCTTTAACCAAAATAATCGTTTTCAACTTTGGTACCGACGTGACGACTTTCATCATATCCTCTTCGGTAACTTCAATGAGAGAACAATTTTCTTCTTCGGATGGAAGTGGAAATTTACCGTGTGACGTCACCCATGGATGTTCCTTTTTTTTAAAGAAATAATAATGATGAAAACAATAATCGGTGATAAAAAAAAAAAAAAAAAATCCGGAACGTTTTTTAAAAAAAATTATTTATTTACTTTAATTTGTGAAAGGTTGAGCCTTTGCGAAGGATCCTTGTGTAACATTTTTCTTATAAGATCTTTAAGGTCGTCACTTATTTCGGGTTTCGAAGGAAATTGTACGGGTTCATTTTGAATTTTAGAATACAACGCGATTATGTTACTATCATTGAAAGGAATGTTACCGTAAACCAAAGTGTAAATGGTGATTCCCATGGACCATATATCGGATGCCTGTTGGGAAGAAAAAAAGAAAAATATTTTCGATTGAAATAATCTGATTGATGAATGAAATTTTATCTCTCTCTCTTACTTTTCCGCTAAACATTGTGTTGCTCAAAGCTTCCGGAGCTAAAAATGCTGGAGTTCCAGCCGTGTTGCTCAAAAACGCATCGTTTCCATCGAATTCATTACACACACCAAAATCGGCAATTTTAATTTGACCGTTATTGCTAAGCAGAAGATTCGACGGTTTGATATCTCTGTGAATGATGCGTTGGTAATGCACTGGAAACGAGAAGAAAAAAATTTAAATTAAATTACATCAAGAAACGCTTTAAATTTCATTTTTAATACGACTTGTTTTAAATTAACCTGGAAAAGGAAATGATGATGAAACGAAATGAAATTTATTTAATCTAAATTAGTTTTTGCTGGAGAAAAAAATTTACGCGTTTGCTGTGTCAAAAGAAAGAAAAAAAAAAAAAAAGGAGCGTTTTATTTATTTCGTGTTACTTACGATATTCAATGCCCAAAATGATGTCTCTGAAATAACCCCAAGCTTCTTTTTCGGTTAAAGGTTCATCTGTTGGAATGTGTAAAACTTCTCCTTTTTCAACTAATTCAAAAACTGAAAATTAAAATAAATATATATATATGTAATTTTTCAAAAAGGAAAATGGAATTATTGGGAGGCAGTGAAAAACGATGAAAATCTTGTCGTGGAAAGAAAAGCTGAAGGTTTGCCCATGGAAATGGATCAAAAGTGCACATTTGGGAATAAGACGCCTTTCGATGTGGAAATTTTCGGACGATTTAAGAAACACGCACTTCAATGGTTAGGATGCCTTTTGTGGTTCCCCACAAGAAACCCTCCCCCTCCCCGCCGTGGTGGAATAATGACGAATAGTTTTGAAAGAATAATGTTTAATGCTTCGTAGAAATTCAGAAAGAACGTTTAAAAAGGAAGATTTGTAGCAATTAATAAAGATTCGTGATCCTTTGGCGTACCTTTTCACGAGGGAAAGAATCAAACGCAACAAAACGTGACAAAATATTCGTTCGTTCGTTCATTCTCCCTTAGGGCGGTTTTTCCAAGAGGGAGGGGAGGGGGGAAAACTCAGAAAATTCTTCTTTTGGGATAAATTAAATCCTTTCTTGATTTCTTCGAAGGGCATTGCAAATACTATGAACCCCATTTCTCGATTCACAAAATCCGATAAATTCAATTTTGAAATTTTTAAATTTCTCTGCTCAGGTCTCAGTTGGCGGTTTCCCCGACTCCCTTTTCCCAATTTTAAGTATGTAGTAAAAGAGTCCCTTTTCCCGAAACAAATGAATAGATTTAAGAAGGGAAAACATTAAAAAATTTACCCAAATATAAATTATCCTCGACGGGATCATCTAAAACTTCGATTAATTTAACCACGTTAGGATGATCTAATTTTTTCAATATGGCGATTTCTCTGTAAACTTTTTCCAATGGTGAATTTCTAAATGGTTTATTAGGATTTTTCCTATTCGGTATCGTCCTTCCGAAAACTCCAGCTTTTTTCAATAGTTTTTTCTTCGAAAGTACTTTCATGGCCTAAATGACAAGAAAAAAAACAAAACAAAAATTAACGCGTTTTCTTATTACCCTCCATTTTTTTTTTCCCCCATCATTTATTTTATTACAATATTTAACTTACGTAATGCGTGCTGTCTTCTTCGTTATACGCGAGTTTTACAAGCCCGTAAGAACCCTGTAATAATAATAATAATATAAATGACAACGTGATTCCGTTATTAAAAAAAAAATAGATGACAGATGAAAAAGAGAAAGAGAGATAGAGATAGAGAGAGAGAGAGAAAAGCCATAAATTAATAAAAATAAAATGAAACAAAACAACAGACGAACACACACAAAAAAAAATTATTTTTATTATTTTTTTCGTATTTTTCTCTCTTCCATTTTTTTTTTTTTTTTTTTTATTACTTTGTTTTGACCTAAAACTGAAAGAATAATAATAATAATAATAATAAAATAACAACAACCAAAGCCAACAGGAAAAAGTTTGACCTACAAAAAAAAAAAATTTTCTTTTTTTTTTCGGTTTATTGATTTTCTCTGAACCTTTTGACAGTTTCAAATGAATGCAGCTCGGGAAAATTTAAATATTATATTTAACGCGGAATATAAATAAATTTTTGTTATTAAATAATTCCCCGGTCGATTTGTTTTTTTTTTTTTTTAAATAAATAAATAATTAAATAAATTAATTGATAAAAAGGTTTTTTTTTACCAAGCGAGTCATTAATTGATTTAATTAATGTAAATAAAAAAAAAAATTTTTTTATTTATTATTAATTTCGTAATAAACGTAAAAATTCGCAAATGATTATTATTATTATTATTATTTATAATTATTCCGATTGTTGTTATTATTATTATTATTATCGGTGCATTCTCTCTCTCTCTTTTCAATTAGAATTTCTATTTCGTTAATTAATAATCCCTTTTAATTATTTGTACGAGAGAGTTTAAGAATTCGAATTCGAAAAAATTTTTCTCAAAAGCGGGGATTCCCCACGATCGAGACGTCATTAAAATTTTTTGTTTTTATTTTTATGCACTCGAATCGTAAAAAAAAAAAAAAACGGTATCGGAAAAATATGAATGAATAAATTATTGAATGATTGAATGAATGAATGAATGAATGAAAATAACAATGAGCCGCGAGTTTATAATAATAATAATAATAATTTTTGTTTACGTTCGGAAAAATTCCCCAAAGCTCGGACCGTAAAAAAAAAAAATTCTGTTTTTAATTTTAAAAAAAAATAAAAAAAGTGTAAAAAAATTCATTTCTCATTCAAAAGAAGAGCAGAAATGGGCAGGAAAAAAAGGGAAAGACGAGGGGAAGGGAGGGAAAGGGGAGAGGTTAAAAAAAGAAAATGACGTAGGAGAAAATTTTTTTTAAATGAAAAAAAGTTAAAAATGATTGATTAGTTGAAGAAAAAAAGGAAAAAAGATATTTTAACGTTTTAATTATTATTCAAATTTAATTTATTATTATTATTATTTCCTCCCCTGTCTGGAATTTCTCCAGCAAGCAAATATTTTTTTATGAGTAATTTAATTTTTTGTAACAAGAAAAAAATCGTTTATTATCCATGGGTTTTATTTCAAGGAAAAACTAGAACTTTTCTCAAATGAAAAAAACAAAAAAAAGGGAAGGGAACCTGTTGCGAAAATACGCGGGGGAGGGAGGGGGGAGTCGTTAATGGAATTCAAAAAAAATTTTTTAACGTTCGAACGTTTTGCTCTCGTCTTTAAAAAAAAAAAAACGGAAATCGCGTTCGGTTTCGTTAAAAATCATCCGAATGTTTAACTTACGGAGAGGAAAATTCCCTTTTCCTTCTGACTTTGGATTGTTAACGAATGTAGAAGGGAGGGAGGGATGAAAATCGTCAGGTTAAAGGTCATGAAAAAATTAGGATCTCTTGTCGATCGTGCAAAAAAAAAAAAAAAAAATTTTTTTTCTTTTCCTTTGTGTATTTCCCATCCTCGAATTTTGTTTTCGTCGTAAAAAAAAAAAAAAAATGGAAGTCGATTGAATAAAATTTTATTTAACTGGAGTCGAAGGTCGAACGAATAAAGTTTACAAAAAAACTTTTTATCGATAATAAAAAATAATAATAATAATGATAACGATAATAAAATTGTCGATTGAAAAAAAAAAAGAAAAAAAAACGTGTCGGGATTTTAAATTCCAGTAACGGAAAACTCATCATCATTGTTATCATCATTATCGTTATTACGTTTCCGTCGTAATCGATGAAAAATTGATTTTTATTGTTTTTGGAAAACGATTTTCCTTCGATAGAACCAACAAAAAAAGAAAATTTTCTGTTTACACAAATTCCAATTTTTTTTTTTTTTTACTTAGAAAATAATTTTCCAGAATTTTAAAAAATTTTGGAAAATTTTATTATAAAAAAAGAAAACGTACGGAAATCTTTAAAAAAAAAATCAAAGTGTGTTCTTTTATTATGGAAAAGAAAACGAACTCGATTTTAGCTAAAAAAAAAAAAAAAAACACGGCAGACGACATTTTTTTTTTATTCTAAACTTGACAGCGACCGCATTGCAGGTTTGCGATTTCATTCCAAACAAACAAAAAAAAAAATTTAAAAATGGCGATTAAATTTTTTTTTTTTTTTTTTTTTTCTTTTCAATTTAAAATTTTTAATTAGTTTTCAATTGAATCGTCGAGATTGAAAAAATAAAAAACACAAACAGGATTTTATTTTAAAAAAATCTCACAACAAACCCGCAAACTTTTTTATTTTTTCTCCATAATAATAAAAAAATTTATCAACTCGTTTATAATGAGTTGTTTTCATTCGTTTTCTCCAGCAAAAAAAAAAAATGCGATTATTCGCGTGACGTTTTTATTTTTCCAAAAAAAAAGTTTAAAAAGAAAAGATTTTTTTAAATGATAAAAATACGGAAAATAAATAAAAGAAAAAAAATTTAAAAGAACGATCGGGAAATCTGGAAAAAACGAAAAATACGATTTATTATTATTATTATTTTTTCTATTTTCTATTTCCGGAATGAATATCAATGAATTTTATCGTAACGAAAAAAAGAAAGACACGATTTAAAATTTTTTTTTTGGTGGGGAGGGGAGGGGAGAAGAAGAATACGAAGAGAGAGAGAGAGAGAGAGAACGAAAAAAGGTTCCAGAATAAAACAGCAAGGCCCTGGAGAAAAAATTTTTTTGTAAAAATAAATTCATTAAATTTTTTTTTTTTTTTTTGTACAAAAACCAACGAGATAACGAAAAAATTTGTCGAATTTTTTTTTTTTTAATTAAAAACGTTTATGGAGAGTAAAAAAAAAACGAATTCATCCTCCCCCCTCCTCCTCTTCATTCTTCAGCCGAAAAATTTTTCTTGTCAACAGCATCACACTGGTCCATTCATCCATTCACCAACCTTTTCAATACATTCATAAATTTTTGATGCGTTTATCGGAAAATTTCGTGAGAAATAAAATTATAAGTTAACTAGTGATATTTATGTTTATCTTATGGAAGAAAGGGTCAACTAACGTTTCGATTTACTCACCTCTCCTATTGAATCCAAAAGACGATACTGATTGAGATGAAGGTGATGACCAGTCTTTTCTATGCTTATCCTTCTGCTTTCTTTAAAAAATCGACTTCTAGATGATCTTGGAGAAGACACCGGAGATACGAACGGACTTATACTTTTCGATTGACTTATACCGATTTTTATTTCTTTTGAAGTATTATCACCGCCATTTTTATCACTACTACTACTACTACTATTATTTTTATCATCCGTTTCCGTTATTTTTTCCAAATTTTTACAACTGTTATTATTGTTATGATTGTTGTGACCGTCGGTACCGTTGTTGTTGTGGTGGTTTCCGATGGCGTTACTACCACTGCTACCACCATCACCACCACCGCCGCTACCTCCGTTATTATTATTATTAAATGGATTTTTCGTATCGGATTTATTATTCGAACTGAATATTTTTGTATCGGTACAAAGAGCAAACGGATTGTTTGAATTTGATTCGCTAACTAAAAACGGATTCGAATTGTTGAGAAACGGATTGCAATTGTTTGAACCGCCACCGCCACCATCACCACCTCCACCGCCATCGTCGCTTCTTCCTTCTCCAGGTAAAACATTCGTGAACGGATTTGAATTGATTAAATCACCGCCACAACCGCCGACGTCGGTTTTTTTACCCGTTTCAATATTATTGCTAAATAATTTATTCATTTTAAAAATTTTGTTACATTCGTCAAATTTTATATTATTCACACGAGATATCACAGATTTTTTATCGGTATTTTTCACCGGTGATTTATCCAGTAAATTTGTATTTCCGGTTTCGGTAAAACCTAATTTTTCATATGTCATTTTTAAAACTTTTCCTATTCGATTAAATTATCGCGACTATTATTATTATTATTATTATTATTTATTTTAAATTTTTCTTTGAATATATCGCGACTTTTCTTTTTGTTTTCTTCTTTCTCTTTTATTTATTTATTTATTTATTTTTACACTTATTCGTAAGAAAATTTTCTTTTTCTCCCACCGTCGATATTAGTTTTCCTTTTTCTCTTTTCTCTTTTGTCTTTTTTTAAAGAAAAGTTTTCTAAACTTTTGATTTTGAACATAATCGGCTGGAAAAACAAAAAAAAAAAAAAAATCTTTTTCTTTTCTTTTCTTCTTCCTACACTTTTTGCCCTGGAACAAAAAAAGTAAAAATATTTTAAAGATCATATGAAATTTGATAATTTTATTATTATTATTATTATTATTATTATTATTATTATTATTATTTTTCTTCGTGAGAAAAAAGGAAAAACTGGATAAAAAAGAAATCAAAGACTAAGAAAAAAAAAAAAATTTTTTTTTTGATTTAACAACGGCGTTTTTCAAAAAAATGAGGGGATTTGAATTTAATTTAACTAATAGAAAAATGGCGGCAACCGGATAAAGTTATAAAAGTCATCAAAGTGATATTTACGAAATGCATTTAATTTACTTAAAACGCACGGGGGGGAGGGAAACCGTTAAAAACCGTTAAAAAAAAGGAAAATTATAAAATTTATTTCCCGCCTTATCGATGATAGAAAAAAAAAAAAAAAAAAAGCAGACAAAACGTTGATCATGCAACCGCAAAATTTTTTTAGTATAGAAAAAAAATCCACAAACGAACAAACAAACAAACAAACAACCTTACGTATTTTTTCCATCTCTCTCTCTCTCTCTTTCTCTCTACGTATTTTTCCTTTACTTTCATTTTTTTTTCCCCCGAATTTTATTACCTTTTTTATTATTTTCTCTTCTTCCACGTGTGTGTGTGTACGTGTGATTAATTAAGATTTCATTTTACACGTAATAATGATGATGATGATGATGGTTTTTTTTTTTGTGTGTGGGGGGCGTCACTCACTCGTTCTTTCTCCTCGTAATTTAATTAAATTTTTAATTAAATTTAATTTACACGTAATGATAACGACCGAAAATAAAAAAAAAATTTTCATGCGCGTTCGTTGTATTAATAATAATAATAATAATAATGATTAGCGTTACTTTTTTTTTTTTTAAATTTATTATTATTATTATTATTTTCATTCATTTATTCGCTTATTTTTTCGTTTTGTTTACATCTGATTATAATAATAATAATTATATTGCGTAAATATTAAATTATTCTTCTGCAATTTACGTTCCGACGATAATAATAATAATAAACCGTATAATAATAATAATAATAATAATAATAATAATCGAAACCGTATATAATTTGTAAGAAAATGAATTTGTTAAGAAAACTCCGTCAAGTTTTCAAAAAAAAAAAAAATTTCCACTCGCGAAATTGTTTTTCTTTTTTTTTTTGTTGGTATTCGAAGCCGTAGGTTTGTTGCCGATACCGTACCTGAATCGTTTGGAAAAAAAAAATCGATAAAAAACATTAATTCAACCTTTCGACAAGAATCTTTAATTTAAGTCGAACACGTTTGAAAAATAAGACGAAGAAGGAAAAAAAAGAAAAAAATAAAAAAAAGAAAAAAGGAAAAAAAAGAAAAAAGGAAAAAAGGAAAAAAAAGAAAAAGGAAAAAACTTTTCATTTCAGGAAACGTAAAACGCATTTTTTCCAAAAATAATAATAATAATAATAATAATAATAATAATAATAATAATAATAAAAAGAAAGGAAGGAAGGAAGAAAAAAAAAAATTGCGTAATGTTAAATGAAACGCAGACGTGATTTTATCGTCGTAGTCGTCGTCGTCGTCGTCGTATTTTAAATTATTACGCGCCTTTTTTTTTTTTTTTATAATTATCGTCTGCTATTGTCTTGACCTTTTGATTTTTGACTTGAATTTATGTATACGGAAAAAATAAAAAAATAAAAAAAAATAATAAAGAAGAAGAAAATTATACGATTCATATTTTTAAAAAGGTCAAGTGTGAACTTTAAGATCTCAAACCGTAATAACAACGACGATGATAATAATAATAATGATAATAATAATAATAATAATGATAATAATAATAATAATAATAATAATAATAATAATAATAATAATAATAATAATAATAATAACGATAATGATAATTTTTAAACGATAAAAAAAAATAAAAGGAAATAAACAGAACAAAATAGAAAACCGAAATGATGTTTTGTGGTTTAATCGATTCAATGTCAAGTTTTTCGATATTTCACTCCGAAAAATTTTTATTTTATTTTTTTTGTTAAATTTGAGGATGCGCGAGTGGGGAGGGGTTAGGAGAGGGAGTAGGGGAAAAATGGAGGGGGAAAAAACACGAACAACCACTTACTTTTTAAAACTCTTAAGGGAAAAATGAAAAAAAAAGAAAAGAAAATTGTTCACGCATAAATAAATTTTTCATATTTTCGACACGAGGAATTGCGAAAAAACAAAAAATTCGTGGCACGTGAAAATAATTTTTTTAAAAAATCAAAACAAACATTTTAAAAATTAAGCGTTCGTTTGTTAGTTTGTTTGTTCGTTTGTTCGTTCGTTCTCTCGTTCGTTCCTTCTCTCTCCTACGTTTGTTAGTTCATCGAAACGTAAATAATTACGATAAGAAGATAAATTTTTTTTTTTTTATAAAGTAATAAAAACATACGAGTGAAAATGTAAATAATATTAATAATAATAATAATAATAACGAAAGGTAAAAGGTAAAAAAAAAAAAATTATAAACAAACAAACAAACAAAACGAAATAAAATAAAAATGGCGAGATTTGTTCGTTCATTCTATTTTCTTCGTTCATAAATAATTCATAAATTTTTTTTTTTTTTTTTTTTTTAGAAAAGCAAATAAAATAAATAAATAAATAAATAATTTTGTTTGTTCGGGTTTTTTAAAAATAAATAAATTAGAATTAAATAAAATATATATGTGTATACGTTCGCGGGGATGACACGAACGGAACGACGACGATTAAACCGTGGAAAAACGATTCGCGTTTCCGTTTTTTTTCGAATTTAAAAAAAAAAATTAAATTTTTCAATATAAACGAAATCAATAAATAACGACGGTGATGATGATGATGATAATAATAATAATAAAGATGATTATGATGATGATGATGATGAAGGAAACGAGAGAACGGCGTCGTTTCGTATCGTCTTTTGTATTGGAATATCGAATAACGTGAAAATTCTTTTTTTTTTTTTTTCTCGGCGTTTTCGATATTTTGAAAGAAATAATAAACAAACAAACAAACAGACAAAACGGTTGTTGTCGTCGTGACAAATTTTGAATGATTACAAACAATGAGAGATGATTCTACGTCGTTGTTGGCAACAAAACATGAAACACCTGCGTAATAATAAAACCTGTTTTTTTTTTTTTTTTAATGATGTTATTATTATTATTCCTTTTTGAAATTACGTTTAAATAATATTGTTATTTATAAAGGTTTGACCTTTTTTTTTTTTATTACACGCAGCAGTGACGTATTAAGGTTTAAAAAATTCAAATCAAAAAAAAAAAAAAATGGAAAAGGAAAGGAAAGAAGAAGAACTTTGAACTTGATTCGCGCGTTTAAAACGTGTTCGATTCGTGTTCGTTATGTGATATATTATTATCATCATCATCATCCTTCCTTCGTCGTCGTTGTTTTTCTTATTGAAAATCGCGATGATAATAATAATAAATAAAGTTTTTATCGAAAAATGCGTTCGCAGTGACAAATAAAATAAATAAATTTCCCGCCAAAATTTAATAAAAAAGAGAAAAATTAAATGATGTTTATGTTGTTCGTTCGTTCGTAAATGATAACAATACGCGGATTCGCGTTATTAATAAATAAAAAAACGCACGCACGAACGCACGCACACACGCACGTACACACGCGCGTAAACTTACCTTTAAGATATAAAAATAAAAATAAAAAATTTTTTATTTACTAACAAAAAAAACTCTTGGAAAAAAAAAATGAAACGAAACGAAACGAGAAAACGTTGTTTTTACGTTAAACGACTTTTTTGAATGAATCTCATCGCGCAACTGGCAAAAAAATAATAATAATATATATATATATAAATATAAAAAAAAAAACAAACGCGAACAAACAAACAAACAAACAAGGTCCGACGAATACATGCGGGAATGAATAGGAGGAAGTCACGTACGTTATCACTCTACGTTTTGCGGAAGTTTTTCTCTTTTTTTTTTTATTTATTTATTTATTTTGTTTGGTTGTTCGTTTTGATGATTTGTTTGGTTGTTTGTCGTTTGTTGATTTGTTTGTATGTTTGTTTATTATTCTGGAATTTATATTTTAAAAAAAAAAAATTTTCGCGAATTATTTCCGCGCGGTTATTATATTGTCGTCGTTTTGATCGAAAATTACAGAAAATTTTTTTTTATTTTTTTATTTTTTCCCATTCTTTTCTCCCCATTTTTCTAAAAGATTTTTCCACTTTTTTCTCGGGGGGATAGCGGGAAGGGGGGAGGATGAGGAGTAAAAAGCTCAAACCAAAAAAAAATTTTTTTTTTAATTTTATATAAAATTACGTAATAAATAAAGTTTTCCGTTGCGTAACGATTAATTTTTTTTTTTCTTTTTAAATAGAGGTTTTTTAACTTTTTGTTTGTTTGTTTGTTTTCGTTTGTTTATATATTTTTGTTTCTTTTTTTTTTTTTTAAAAAAGAAAAATTTTATTGAATTAAAAATTTTGCGAGATTTTTTTTTTGTAAAAAAAAATTTCTGTTGCGTAGAAATTTTTTTTTTTCCTTTTCATTCATTCATTCATTCATTCATTCTTTTGTTTTAAATTTTTTTATTCTTGCTTTTCATCCCTTCTTCCTACTTTTTTTCTTTCTTTCTTTCTTCTTTCTCGTATCAACAACAACAAAGCATTTG